AGAAATACAAACATTGGCTAAAGAAAAAGTAAAAGAGAAAAACAGAGGAAAGAACACAACAAAAACAGAGTAACCGGAAACAATAACTGAAATCAAGACACTGATAAATGGGTTGCCTTCTCCCCCAAGCTTCTTTCTCTTTCCCAAAGATTCTTCAAGTTGGGTTTACGAAGGCTACACAAACAAAATATACGTTAGTTTCACTTATTCATTCATCCAGAAAATTCTATTATAATATATTTTTTCAAATTCAGAAACATTACCTCTCTAGTTAGCTGTGGTGCTTCTTCTTCTTCTGCGTTTGTTTCGACCAAAAGGACTCGTGAACCACTCTGGTTTGTATGAAACCAATATGTATCCAATCGTCAACCCAAACGCAATACCAGGTACAAATCCTATTGCAGCTGCAATCCAACTAAACACCTCTTCATCTTCTTCTTCTTTTGGTTCTGGTGTTTCAGACTGTTGCGATGAAGGCTTGTGGATATCTCCGCAATCATCTTCAAGAGCAGGGCCGAAAAGTCCCAAGTTGTCGTCAAAAGAAGAGCAGTTCAGCCTTCGAAACTGAGTGCCTCCTGGTAATAGACCTACAAGCTGGTTATGGGAGAAGTTCATGTACGAAAGGAACGAGAGATTCCCTAGCTCTTGTGGAATTTCTCCAGAAAGCTTGTTTTGGAAAACGTCTAGTGACTCGAGAGCTGTAAGGTTCCCCATGGCCGATGGTATGCGGCCATTGAAAGCATTGTTTGACAAGTTGAGCACGTGAAGCTCTTTCAGTAAACCGATGGACTTTGGAATCTCGCCTTCAAGTTTGTTTCCAGAGAAGTCGAGTGCTGCGAAGACTTTTAGGATACGTTCTAGCTCCATCTCTATTCCTTTATTCATCAAAACCATCGAATCTTGGTAATAGCCTCCTCCCATGTACTTTTCAGTCGACTGATCTTCGTCTACCCCAAGAGATGACATTTTACTCCAGTTCACAAAACAATCCGCTGGTAAAATTCCGGTGAACTGATTATGTGAGATGTCCATGATTTTCAACTGAAGGAACGAGGCTTGATGTATGGATCCATGGAATGCATTGGGGCGTAAGACAAGAACTTGCAGGTTCTGTAGAGAACTCAACCAGAACGGAAACGTGTCGTTGATTCTGTTGCTTTCCACATTCAGAACTTCAAGAGCGGAGAAATGGATGAAAGATCTTGGAAGCTTTCCCACCAATTGGTTGTGACCAAGGTCAAGCGTTCTTAGACCTTCAAATACATTCTTTGGAAGACCTCCACTAAGACGGTTCTGTCGTAGGTTCAGAACTGAGAGATTGCTCTTGAGATTTCCCATGCAAAGAGGTATTGAACCATTGAAATTGTTGTTTGATAAATCCAGAGTGCTTAGAGAGTGCAACTCGCATATTAGAGCCAGACAAGTACTCCAGGACAGAGGATAATCCATGGTTCATTGATGTTTTGAAGTTGACGAAAGTGTTGTTGGAAAGATTCACGTACGTCAGATCTGGTAGCGTCCATAACCAGCCAGGAACTTTACCTTTGATTTCGTTGTTGGAAATGTCTAGTCTCTCCATACGCTGCTGGGTTCTCAGAAGTTCTGGAAATTCGGTAATACCGCAGCCTGACAAGTTTAAATAAAATATCATCTGTGAAGGAGAATCTGAAACTGAACTTTTGTTGTTTGTGGCCAAAACATGGTTCCCTGAGAGATCTAATGCTCCGAGTGACTTGGAAAATGATGAGATTGCATTCAAGTCAATCGTTGTTGTAGTGTTCAAATGGGACAGGTAAAGACTTTCAAGCGACTTGAGATGCGAGAAGATAGTGAGGTCAACTGGGCCTTGGGTGCTCCAATGGGAAATGTCAAGTTCCGTAAGATTGACTAATTTGGAAATGGATATGGGGATTGGCCCTCTGAAGTTGTTACCGTCAAGGAATAACCTTTTTAGCTTAGATGGTGAAGATATATTCCCAGACTCAAGAGTGCCGTTGAGTTGGTTATTTGACAAATCAATACGGATCAAAGAAGGAAGGGCGATGAGAGAAGAAGGAACGGTTCCAACGAAATTGTTATCATATGCGTAAAAATACTCCAAGTTGGAGAGTGAGCTAATGTTTGGAGGAAGCGTTCCTGTGAGTTGATTGAAGCCAAATGATAACCGTGACAGATTTGTCAAATTAAGTAGTGCTACAGGAAAATTACCACTAAGCTTATTGATGTATAAATCTAACTTGGTCAACTGTTTCAGAGTACCCAAAGAAGATGGAATCTCACCATTGAAATTGTTATAGCCGAGGTCAAGAGCTTGGAGATGTGAAAGGTTTCCAATTGAAGACAGAATCTGACCTGAAAACTCATTAAAAGAAAGGCTGAGAGAGGTGAGATTGGAAAGAGTTCCAATTGAAGACAGAATCTGGCCAGAGAAATGATTACTAGTAAGGTCGAGAGAGGTGAGATGAGAAAGTTTTCCAATGGAGGATGGGATTTGACCATAAAAATCATTTTTTGAAGAGTCTAGAGAAGATAGAAAAGGAATGTTTTGAAAGGTATTCGAATAAAACCTGCCATGGAGGCAGCTGCAACTGAGGTCTAGCTCTATCACTTCCCCAAAACTGGCATCGCACCTGATACCGTCCCAATAACAACAATCGCTGCTATTTTTCCATGACTCCGTCTTTGGATGAGGCCTTACATCGCTACCATTAACATAACACCCATAATTACAAGGCTTTATGATCTCAAACTCGTTCTTGAACTCGAGAAGTGCATCCCTTTGTTCAGGACGACACAAATGTATAGTAGGAACCGCAAAGACGTTTTGAAAATAAAGTATAAAAGAGAAGAGAAAAGAAAAAGTAATATGAATGGTCCTCATTGAGTTCCAACAGCCTTTCGTTCTTCTTCTTCAAGCTAATTTAATTTCTCTTGAATACCAATAATGAAGAAGCTAAAGATGGAAATGGTGATAATAAAACATGGTTTCATGCCCCGTCACTTTATATAGATTGCATATAGAGAGTGCTCCAGATTCACTCAGATTGACTCACCATCAAGTCTTTGTACGAAGTGTTATTCACGTTGAGCAAACAGAGTGAATGTATTTGTGTTCCAAACATTTTGGTCCAACCAAATTAATGAAAAAGAAATTAGATAATACATTACAAAAGAGTAAAGAAGAGACGATTTGTTATGGGTAATGATAATCATGTGGTCGATGTAAGGAGAGCTCTCAAGATGAAGATAAGGTTGAAAAAGAAATTGTTGGAGTTGGGAGCAGAGTTGGCTTACTTTTCAAGTCATAGTCTTTTGTCTTTTCCCCCGTGAAACAAAACTGACTAGTCAATATTGCTGAATAGTTTGATAAATCTACTTGTTTGTTTGTTTGGCTTCTTTTGTCATGATACATTTTTTCTTTGTTCGAGTTTGATTTATATGATTTGTTTTAATTGCGTCGTGATACTCAACATAAGTTAATCTAATCGATGAAAAACTATGATGCGCACTATGGACAGAAGACATGCAAATAAATTATTTTGAAAACCAACGAGAAGCCAAAGAGAATAAGTATTATCTCTTCTTGGAACTGAGATGAAGTAGCGCTTGCTTGCAACACAAGCATCTATTACTGTGTCTCTGTCTCATTTGTCACAGTACCTGTGATTGTTTTAGCTGTCTGGTAGACAAAATCAGGAAGGAAGGCAAGCCAGAATAAAGAAGACTTTCTTTTTTTTTCACTATATAAAAAAGGAAATATACTATTTATTGATTCAATAGAGTAAACGACTATAGTACTTATTAGTTTGTTTTCCTAGCAAGATGTATCCAAAATGGTAATGTTCCAAGTTTTCCCACTCTTTATACAAACATCTCTTAAGAAATTTTGATCATCGACAAACAATTTTGCTCTGCATTTATTTGTTATAATCTAAGATAAACAAATAAAAAAACAATGAAAAACTATATTTTAGATCAATGGTATTTCATCCAGGTAGGTATATCAATAGTAACGATTTTATCATGTGTTTTAGGAAAGCGGTACATGAGAATTCATGAGAAAGCAGAAGATCTTTTTTTAGAGAATAGTCAAGTGAAAGAAGACGACAAAAACAAGAACATAAATCCAGAAGAAAATGATATCGAGAAGAATTTATAGGAAAAAAAGATAAAGAACTGAGAAGCAGCACAATGATCACATTCTATACAACCAAAAAAAAGAATTATACAGCCTGAAACGTGTAATTCAAGTTTTTCCATGCAAATTTGAAGCTTTTGTATGAGATTTGGCTCATTGTGTTTTGTAACTGTACAAATACACACAGATTTCTCTACTTTTGCTATATAGTATTTATTTATGGAGTTACAATCGATTGTTCTTGCCTCCTCTGCTTCTCACTTTCACTTTCTTCCCCATTAAACCGATCTACACTGTTTATGAATATCCCTGCCAAAACAAAACTCGCAACAAAAACAGCTTCTTGATTTGGAACAAGAAAGATTTATCTAGGTTCAAGAATTGAGATTTGCTTTTTACCTATAAACCATATTGCAGCAGCTAAGAACAGAACCGATGTAAGGATCAATGCTGTTTTTCTCCAACTGTTGATATGATCCTGCATATACAACAACAATGGAGCATTTTGGTTTCTGTTTTCTCTCTTTTCAAGTATTGGCGATGACAAGAAGAGATCTTTTTTTTACCTGAACGATACCGACAAGAGGAGAAGAACGAACATCGCCAAATATGTGAATCGCAACGGTAGAGATAGCCATTGATAATGGTCTTAAACTTGGTTTCACACAATGCAAACACACATAGTTCAATGGAGCCTGAAGAAGAAGAAGAAGAAGAAGAAGAAGATAAGACAAATCTGTTCTTGTTATTGATGAAGAAACATAACGATATTACAACAACACAAAGGCTCAAAGTTTTTACCTGTGTAGCAAACACAAGAAGCTCTCCTAAGGCAAGAGAACGATGAAACCGAATAAACTCTTTAAGGTAAATGCAGTGAAGCAAAAGATCGCTCCAAGAGACATTGCTCCGGATAAAAGCTGCATACATATGTATCGATCAAAAAGGTTTTGATTCAAAATCCGAAAGCAAGAAGAGAGAAAAAAGCTTTTCTTCTTTCCACCTTGAAAGCATTTGGAATTGTTGCGGTGACACTATCGAGTATCAACCCTCCTGATAATGACCCAATGACCCCACAAATGATAGTTACTGCACCAAAGATCATATCGGCGTTTTTCTGACAAGATAAAGTTTCTTATCAGAAAACAAAGTTTCAAGAACTCTCAAGAAGAAAGATTGATAGCAACAAAACAAATGTTTCACCATTTTGTAAATGTTATAACCAGCCTTTGGTCCCCAATACGAGTATGCTCCAATAACAAAGTTGTATGAGACATAACCTGTTAAGACCAAGTTATATCATCAACCATGAAGAAGATAAGTAGGAAGAATAGTGAAAGCGAAGAGGACAAAAATTATTACCTAAGACATTAACAACAAAGACTTTTTCTTTACATAGAACTTTCATATCTTTCCCAAATTGAGTAAACGATTTCGAAACTACGTTCTTGTAACTTGACCTGTCACAGTTGAAGTAAAACAAATTTGATAAAACTAATACAAAACGTATGGAAGAAAAGTTTTAAGATAAATGAAATCAAACTCACTTATAAGTTTCAATGGAGACCTCAATCTCATTACCACCAGCTTGAAGATGTTTGTTGTTTTTACCAACTGATGAAGCCATCTTTATCGAATCAGTAGAAGGAAACCCTGTTTCATTTTCTTTTCTCAGATCACAATATCTTTTAACAGTTTATTCTTTTAATAACACAAGACAGAATCTGTTCTTCACCTTTTAACTGTAAAGGTTTCATCAAGAAACCAAGAACAGCAAATGGAGCCATTAATACAGCTTCTCCCCAAAACGCATAGCGCCAACTAAAATGTTTTCCAACCTGAAAATCACAAATTTTGAACCTTTAAGACAACTTTCTATAAACTAATGTCATAGTCCCAACAATATACATATGTATCCGCCATAGACATAGCCCAAAGCAACACCACTTGGTATACACATGTAGAACACACCAAGCCACACAGCTTTCTGAAGTTAAAAGCAAAAAGGGTTAATCAGAAATAGACGAATGTTGCATTTTGAATCCATAAGATGTGCAAAAAAACGGTTAATAGAGAAACCTGTTTGTGAGGAGCATTATCATCTATAAACGGAGCTGCAAGACTGATGAAAGAAGCTTCACCTACACCAACGAACCTATCGAGTAATAATAGTCATACAAATCAAAATTTGGAGAAAACAAAGTCAAACCATAAACAAGAACAAAACTTAACTTACATGCGACATAAGACGATAAACGAAAAGGCAAAGGAACTGCCACAACCAAGAACTGTAATAGTCCAAACAGTTAAGCCTACTCCAATAAGTCTAAATGGATTGAAACTGCACTAAAAACAATAAACCACTCCAATAATCTGTATTTTGTTTACGCCTTAGAAGAAGAAAACTGAAAAATGTTTCCTAACCTTTTTGCTAATGAAGCAAAGATTGGTGATGCAATAAGAAGTCCAACCATAAATGAAGATGACAACATACCATCTTCGAAATTGCTTAGATTGAAATGTCCCCTAGAAGAAGCAACAAATTTGAGTAAAACATAGCAGTAAATATTAAAGCTTTAGGCCTTAAAACAACCAAACTCTTACTGAATCCCAGTTGCAGGACTGCATTTGCCCTTATCATCATAACTCCTGGTACTTCCATTGACACCATTGCTCGCTATGGCACCACGATCCATGTAGTTTAACAAGTTAATGATGCAGAAGATCACAAGTAACCTGAAAAAAGAAAAAGAATTTTGATGAAGATAATGATGCAGCAAAGAAATACAGAGTTCTTTGACCTTTGCAGCAGGAGTACCTGCTTGGCCTGAGATATTCGGACATAGGAGGAGACAGCGAGAAGCTTTGTGACCTATATGTCCACAACGACTACAATTTTAAGGTACAGAGATCTAAAGGTGACCAAGGAGATACAAACATCAAGCAGTCGTCAACATGCCACAAACCTCTCTGAAGGACCCATTTAGGGGTTGACTCGTGTGGAATGTGGAATAGGTACGTTGACTCTCCTAATTTTCGAATGAAGATTCTGTATTTCCTTCCCCAAATCCTAGTTACTATCGAATGAATAAACCCTCTAGAAGGTAAAATTGACCTACCACAAATTCTAAACCACCTAGAAGAACATGAGAAGGTATTATAACCTCTATGAAGATTCCTCAGAGATTGGTTCATCCTTGCTACCCAAGGATACTCTTTGGAGTGAGCTTTAAGTGAATCAGCTTCAGCTTCAGAGAAGTGAGAGGTTGTTAACTTCTGAGTCAAAGCAGAGGGATAACTTCTGCAAGATGATGAAGAGGCTTCTCCCATGCTCCCTTGGAGATTGGCAGGAGTGAAGCTTTTCGGTTAGAGGTCTCAGGAACAGAAGGTAGGCTTTTCTCTTGAATAGGAATAATTACCATCTCAGACACTTCCGCTAGCGTGAGACTGTACGGTCGGAAGGGAGCAGGTGTCATCGATTTGCCCTGCAGCTAGAGAGAATTTGGGCTTCACCAGACAGAGGATTCGACGAGGGTGGAGAGTTGGCCGACCATCAATGCAGATGAGGCCAACGCAGATATTGAGAAGATTCCGAAACTAAGTTGCTTTGCCTGAAAGAGCAATCTCCTCTCCGAAAGAGTCGATGGTAACAGGGTCGCTGATTTTGAGGGGGTCGATCCAATCTCCTCTCCGATGAAGGCATGAGAAAGTCGTAGTCATTTGCTGTCCAAGGATACTCTTTGGAGTGAGCTTTGAGTGAAGCAGCTTCAGCTTCAGAGCAGTGAGACGTTGTTAACTTCTGAGCCAAAGCCATTGGGAATTTTCAGAGTTTCAACAAAGGACCTTCTGCAAGATGATGAAGAGGAGCAGAATAAATCGCTGATTTTGAGGGGGTCGATGGTAAGAGGGTCGCTGATTTTGAGGGGGTCGAATCCAATCTCCTCTCCGATGAAGGCATGAGAAAATAGTAGTCATTTGCTGAGATTTCACCGGAAGACATGGGGCAAATGGATTTCAGAAAGAATAAGGGAGAACTAAGAGAGGAGAGGAGCGAATCCACCGGTAAAAGAGCCGCCAAGAGAGCGAAAGGAGAAAATTTTTAAGGGTTGTCTCGATAAATGGGCTTGGGAGCGTTTTTTGTTTTACTCTTCTGTGTGCTATGGTTTGCAATCTCTGTGCTCTCTCTCTCTCTCAATCTAAATCTGTTTCTTGCTTGATTGCTGAAATAGTTTGTAATTGCTTGGTTTTATTAATTCACAGAGGTAAGTATATATATACATTGGTATTTCCTATTCTGATAGGACTAAATCAAGATATAGAATATTAACATATATCGTGGCCTTATAATTGCGATCGATTCCTCCGCGTTTATGTTTGAACGATTAATGTATAGAGAGATTGCCCATTTGCGCGATGATCGAAGCCTCCACCGTTCATCTACACGGCTAAGATGATTTACCCGAAGTGGCTCACGCGGATCCCTCCAAAGGGATGCGGCTGCACAAAGCGATGCACGGAGAGTAGAATCTGCGCCTGCGTGGCGAAAAACGGAGGAGAGATACCTTACAACTACGATGGGAACGTAGTTTTTTTCTTTGTTCGAGTTTGATTTATATGATTTGTTCAATTGCGTGGTGATACTAAAAATATATTAATCTAATCGAACTACTGTATATTTCTTTGTGGTCTAGATATACGTTTAAACTAATTAAAACGTCGTGATTCTTCGTTAGCCCAGCAATGACCAATGATATTTCTACTGAACTAAAGTAGCGCTTGCTTGCAACACAAGCATCTATTACTTGCAAGGACTTAAAATCAACATTTTTACCAATTTATTTAAGAAATCCAATGGCTTTTGCTACAGGAGGAATCTCTAAGAAATATTCCTCAAGCTCATGTGGTTCTGTTTTGTTGGCAATGTGAGAATGGTAAACCATTACAGTGTGTAGACAGTTAAGAAAATTGCCCAAATTCTTCCGCTTTCGGTTACGAACATGACAAAGTGGTTTTCAAACGCAAGAGTGGCTGTACAGGGATGCTTGATTTCCACGCCATACCTTGTTTTGCCAATATAAATGAGAAAGTTCTTTTTTCTCACTATATAAAAAAAGGAAATATACTATTTATTGATTCAAAAGACAAAAAAAACAAACTACTATAGTACTTATTAGTTTGTTTTCCTAGCAACATGTATCCAAAATGGTAATGTTCCAAGTTTTCCCATTCTTTCACGCCAATATATATACAAACAACTCTTAAGAAATTTTGATCATCATCGACAAACAATTTTGCTCTGCATTTATTTGTATAATCTAAGATAAACAAATAAAAAAAACAATGAAAACGTCTATTTTAGATCAATAGTATTTCATCCAGGTAGGTATATCAATTGTAACGATTTTTTCATGTGTTTTAGGAAGGCGGGACATGAGAATACATGAAAAAGCAGAAGATTTTTCTTTAGTGTAAAAAATACGACAAGAACATCCAGAAGAAAACGATATCGAGAAGAATTTATAGAAGAAAAGGGAAAAAAACTGAGAAGAAGCACAACGATCACATTCTCTATAACCAAAAAGAGAATTCTATAGCTCGAAACGTGTAATTTATGTTTTTCAATGCAAATTTGAAGCTTTTGTGTGTGGACTTTCTATCCTATTAAATTAATTCTAAATTCGAAAGAAAACTCTGATATAAATTATTTACTGCATGTTTGATGAAAAAAGAATGACGTTAGTTACAGATAGTTATAAATTGGTGAAAATGGTTTTTAAATCTGAGGAATGACCATTTTTTGCTTTACATATAGAGGAATACGAGACAAGTAGGAATTTCAGTTTTTTTCTATCTCATATATCCTACGCGCTCAAAATCTAAAAATAGATAAATTAGTACGAGATGCTCAAAATTACTTTTATTATTTAGATTATGTAAACTCAACTTCACCTATTTAGTTATCTGAATCGTTTTAAAAGTTCAAAACTATTGACAAAAAAATATTTCAAAAAAAAAGAAAAAAATGCACTATTATTTACATAGCAAACCACGTTCCCTTGCCCATATGTCGTCACTGTGACGTGAATCGTGGCACTGTACTGTACATGTATTTTTTGTGCGTGTAATGTAATGCTCCTCTTTTTGACGACGTTTGAGAGTTTAAGTCCTAAAAAATCAGGAAACAAATCGCAAATCTGTTCTTTGTTTCCTTCACAATGTTCTCAATCAAATCAAACTTCCCGATTTGAGCTAGAATCGAATTCGACTTCTGACAATTGAAACTTCAGGCAGATCGAAATCCGATTCATCATCATCTTCTTCTCCGCCTCGATCGCTCTTCTCATCGGTAAATTTTGTCCCTTACATCTGTTTCCCACTCTTTTACGCGTATTTGATTTTATAATCGATCGATTCCTTCGCGTTTCTGTTTGAACGATTGATGTATTGAGAGATCGTGATGTTGTCCTGCATGAATCGGAAATTTGGTGTTTTGTTTCCGCGAAATCTTAGCTTAGAATCATTGAAAACGAAAATTAGAATTAAGAATATGATGAATAGATTTTCTCAGCTAGGATTTGAACATTCGTGTGCTTTGGTTTTAATTTGCCAAAGAGCTTGATCTACGAGTGTGGCCCTCTCTGCAAATGCCCTCCTGCTTGCTACCTAAGAGTCACGCAGCGAGGGATCAGGTTCAAGCTCGAGATCTTCAAAACCGAGTCGAGAGGTTGGGGAGTGAGGTCTCTCAGCTCGATACCTTCGGGTAGCTTCATATGCGAGTACGTCGGCGAGCTTTTGGAGGATAAAGAAGCCGAGAGAAGAACAGGGAACGACGAGTATCTCTTTGACATTGGGAACAAATACGACAACTCTTTAGCTGAAGGGATGTCGAAGCTAATGCCAGGGATGGAGAAAGAGAAAGAAGAAGAAGATGGTGGCGATGGTGGTGAGACCACGGGGTTCACCGTCGACGCCGCGAAGAAAGGGAACATCGGGAGGTTTATAAACCATAGCTGCTCGCCGAATCTGTATGCACAGAACGTGTTGTATGATCATGAAGACAAGAGGATCCCTCACGTGATGCTGTTTGCGATGGACAATATACCTCCGCTTCAAGAACTCACTTACCATTATAATTACATGATCGACCAGGTGCGCGATGTTAACGGTAATATCAAGAAGAAGATTTGCTACTGTGGTTCTTCTGAGTGTACCGGTAGGCTCTATTAATCGATTACCCTCAAACTTTTTCTCCCCTGGTTTAAACTCAGATTCTTCATTGTTTTTATGTTATTCATCAACAGTTTATGTTATACCGTAGAATCTATATAAATTAATATACCATATAGCAGCAGCTAAGAACAACAATGGAGCAATCTTGGTCTCTGTTTTCTCTGTTTTCAAGTATTGGCGATCACAAGGAAAGATCTTTTTTTACCTGAATGATACCGACAAGAGGAGAAGAATGAACATCGCCAAATATGTGAATCCCAACTGTAGAGATAGCCATTGATAATGGTCTTAAACTTGGTTTCACAGAATGTAAACGCACTTAGTTCACAAGAGCCTGAAGAAGAAGAAAGATAGACGAAATCTGTTATGGTAAATATATCTCTTTTTGATTGGACCTTAACAGAGGAATACATAGAAAAAAAAGAGGAAAGAACACGACAGAAACAGAGTAAACGGAAACAATAATTGAAATCAAGACACCATAAATGGGTTGCCTTCTACCCCAAGCTTCTTTCTCTCCGGTCCATTTGGTTTGGTTGTTCTTCAAGTTGGGCTTACGAAGGCTACACAAAATATACGTTAGTTTTACTTATAATATATTTTTTTCAAATTCAGAACATTACCGATCGAGTTAGCTGCTGTGGTGCTTCTTCTTCTTCTGCGTTTGTTTCGGCCAAAAGGACTCGTGTACCACTCTGGTTTGTGTGAGACCAATATGTATCCAATCGCCAACCCAAACGCAATACCAGGGACATATCCTATTGCAGCTGCAATCCAACTGAACACCTCATCATCTTCTTCTTCTGGCTTTGGCGTTTCAGACTGTTGCGATGAAGGCTTGTGGATATCTCTGCAAACTTCATCAAGAGCAGGGCGAAAAGTCCCGAGTTGTTGTCGAAGGAAGAGCAAGGCTGCGTTCGAAACTGAGTGCCTCCTGGTAATTGACCTACAAGCTGGTTGTGGGAGAAGTTCATGTACTCAATGAACGAGAGGTTCCCTAACTCTTGTGGAATTTCTCCTGAAAGCTTGTTTTGGGAAACATCTAGTGACTCCAGAGCTGTCAGGTTCCCCATAGATGATGGAATGTGGCCAGTGAAAGCATTGTTTGACAAGTTGAGAACGTGAAGCTCTTTGAGTAAGCCGATGGACTTTGGAATCTCGCCTTCAAGTTTGTTTCCAGAGAAGTCGAGTGCTGTGTAGATTTTTAGGATACGTTTCAGCTCCAATGCTACACTTTATTCACCAAAACCATCGAATCTTGGTAATAGCCTAATTCATCTCCCATATAACGTTCCTTTGACTGATCTTCATGAATACCAAGTGATGACATTGAACTCCAGTTCTCAAAATAATCAGACGGCAGAGTTCCATTGAATTGATTGTGTGATATGTCGATGATCTTCAGCTTAAGGAATATTCCTTGATGTATCGGTCCATGGAATGCATTGGAGCGCAAGACAAGAACTTGCAGGTTTTGTAAAGAACTCAACCAGAACGGAAACGTGTCGTTGATTCTGTTGCTTTCCACATTCAGAACTTCAAGAGTGGGGAAATGGAGCAAAGATCTTGGAAGCTTTCCCACTAGTTGGTTATGTCCAAGGTCAAGCGTTCTTAGAACTTTAAATACATTCCTCGGAACACCTCCACTAAGATGGTTCTGATGTAGGTTCAGAACTGAAAGTCTGCTCTTGAGATTTCCCATACAAAGAGGGATTGAACCATTGAATTTGTTGTCTGATAAATCTAGAATGGTTAGAGACTGAAACTCGTATATGAGAGATGGAATCTCTCCTGTGAAGTTGTTTTTAGAGCCAAACAAGTGCTGCAGGGCAGAGGATAGTCCAAGTTTCGTTGAACTTTCGAAACCGATGAAAGTGTTGTTGGAAAGATTCACGTACTCAAGTTTTGGCAGTGTCCATAACCAGCCAGGAACTTGACCTTTGATTTTGTTGTTGGAAATGTCTAGAGTCTCCATACGCTGCCGGGTTCTTAGAAGTTCTGGAAATCCGATAATACCGCAGCCTGACAAGTTTAAATGACGTATCTTCTGTGAAGGAGAATCTGAAACTGAATTGTTTGTGGCTAAAATATGGTTCCCTGAGAGATTTAATTCTTCGAGCCTCTTGGTACATGATGAGATTGCATTCAAGTCAATCGTTGTTGTGGTGTTCAGATAGGAGAGTTCAAGACTGGAAAGCAACTTGAGATGCGAGAAGATAGTGAGATCAACTGGGCCTTGGGTATTCCAATGGGAAAGGTCAAGTATCTCAAGATTGACTAATTTGGAAATGGATCTGGGGATTGGCCCTCTGAAGTTGTTACCGCCAAGAAATAACCATATGGTATTAGATGGTGAAGATATATTTCCAAACTCAAGAGTGCCGTTGAGTTGGTTACTTGACAATGCAATAGATGCCAAAGAAGGAATGTTGAAGAGAGAAGAAGGAACGGTTCCAACCAAAGCGTTCCCCCTTGCGTGAAACATATTCAGGTTTGAGAGTGAGCTAATGTTTGGAGGAAGCGTTCCTGTGAATTGATTGGAGCTCAGAAATAAAGTCGACAGCTTTGTCAAAAATTAAGTAGTGCAACAGGAAAGTTACCACTAAGCTTATTGGATTCTAATCTTAATAAGGTCAACTGTTTCAAACTGCCAAAAGAAGATGGGATTTCACCATCGAAACTGTTACCGCTGAGGCGAAGAGATTCGAGATGATAGAGCTTTGTAATTGAAGATGGAATATGGCTCCTCAACTGATTACCAGAAAGATCGAGAGAGGTGAGATGTGAAAGGTTTCCAATTGAGGATGGAATCTGACCCAAAAAGTGATTACTAGAAAGATCGAGATCAGTGAGACGTGAAAGATTTTCAATTGAAGACGGAATCTGACCCGAGAATTGATTATCAGAAAGAGCAAGAGAGGTGAGATGTGTAAGATTTCCAATTGAATACGGAATCTGGCCGGAGAAATTGTTACTAGAAAGATACAGAGAGGTGAGATATGAAAGAGTTCCAACTGAATACGGAATCTGGCCAGATAAATTATTATTATAAAGATAGAGAGAGGTGAGATGTGTAAGATTTCCAATTAAAGATGGAATCTGACCAAAAAGATGATTATTAGAAAGGTTGAGAGAGGTGAGATGAAAAAGGTTTACAATGGAATATGGGATTTGACCATGTAAATCATTATATGAAAGGTCGAGAACTGTTAGAAAAGGAATGTTTTGAAAGGTATTCGAATGAAACCTGCCATGGAGGCAGCTGCAGCTGAGGTCTAGCTCGATCACTTTCCCAGACTTGGCATCGCACGTGATACCATCCCAATAACAACAATCACTGTTATTTCCCCATGACTCCGTCTTCGGATGAGGCTTTACATAGCTACCATTAACATAACAGTCATAAGAAAAAGAAGGCTTCCTGATCTCAAACTCGTTCTTGAACTGGAGAAGTGCATCCCTTTGTTCAGGATGACACACATGTCTAATAGGAACCGCAGACACGTTTTGAAAATAAAGTATGAACGAGAAGAGAAAAGAAAAAGTAATATGAATGGTCCTCATTGAGTTCCAACAGCCTTTCGTTCTTCTTCTTCAAGCTAATTTAATTTCTCTTGAATATCAATAATAAAGAAGCGAAAGATGGAAATGGTGATAGTAAAACAAGGTTTCATTCCCCGTCTCTTTATATAGATTTCATATAGAGAGTGCTCCAGGTTCACTCAGATTGACTCACCATCAAGTCTTTGTACGAAGTGTTATTCACGTTGAGCAAACAGAGTTAATGTATTTGTGTTCCAAACATTTTAGTCCAACCAAATTAAAAGATATACAGAACCAAATTAATGAAAAAGAAATTAGATATACAATACAAAAGAGTACAAGTCAAGAAGAGACGATTAGTTATGGGTAATGATAATCATGTGGTCGATGTAAAGACAGCTCTGAGTAAGAAGATAAGATTGAAAAAGAAATTGTTGAGAGTTCAGAGCAGAGTTGGCTTACTTTTCAAGTCATCGTCTTTCGTCTTTTCCCCGTCAATATTGCTGAATAGTTTGAGAAATATATGTGTTTGTTTATTTGGTTTCTTTTGTCCTGATACTTTTTTTCTTTGTTCGAGTTTGATTGATATGATTTGTTTAATTGCGTCGTGATACTAAAAATAAATTAATCTAATCGATTAAAAAGTATGATGCGCACTATGGGCAGAAGGCATGCAAATAAATTATTTTGAAAGCTCCGCAAAACCAACGAGAAGCCAAAGAGAATGAAGTATCGCTTCCTTGCAACACAAGCATCTATTACTGTGTCTCTATCTCATTTGTCACAGTACCTGTGATTGTTTTAGCTGTCTGGTAGACAAAATCAGGAAGGAAGGCAAGCCAGAATAAAGAAGACTTTCTTTTTTTTCACTATATAAAGAAAAGGAAATATACTATTTATTGATTAGTAAACTACTATAGTACTTATTAGTTTGTTTTCCTAGCAAGATGTATCCAAAAATGGTAATGTTCCAAGTTTTCCCACTCTTTCAAGCCAATATATATATACAAACAACTCTTAAGAAATTTTGATCATCGACAAACAATTTTTCTCTGCATTTATTTGTTATAATCTAAGATAAACAAATAAAAAAACAATGAAAAACAATATTTTAGATCAATGGTATTTCATCCAGTTAGGTATATCAATTGTAATGGTTTTATCATGTGTTTTAGGAAGGCGGTACATGAGAATTCATGAGAAAGCAGAAGATTTTTCTTTAGAGAATAATCAAGTGAAAGAAAACGACAAGAACAAGAACATAAATTCAGAAGAAAATGATATCGAGAAGAATTTTGAAGGTAAAGAACTGAGAAGAAGCACAGTGATCACGTTCTCTATAAACAAAAAGAGAATTCTACAGCCTGAAACATGTAATTCAAATTTTTTCATGCAAATTTGAAGCTTTTGTGTAAGATTTGGTTCATTGTGTTTTGTAACTGTACAAATACACACAGATTTCTCTATTTTTGCTATATAGTATTTATTCATTTATGGAGTTACAATCGATTGTTCTTGCCTCCTCTGCCTCTCACTTTCACTTTCTTCTTCATTGCACCGATCTACACTGTTTATAAATATCCCTGCCAAAACAAAACTCGCAACAAAAACAGCTTCTTGATTTGGAACAAGAAAGATTTATCTAGGTTCAAGAATTGAGATTTGCTTTTTACCTATAAACCATATTGCAGCAGCTAAGAACAGAACCGATGTAAGGATCAATGCTGTTTTTCTCCAACTGTTGATATGATCCTGCATATACAACAACAATGGAGCATTTTGGTTTCTGTTTTCTCTCTTTTCAAGTATTGGCGATGACAAGAAGAGATCTTTTTTTACCTGAACGATACCGACAAGAGGAGAAGAAGGAACATCGCCAAATATGTGAATCGCAACGGTAGAGATAGCCATTGATAATGGTCTTAAACTTGGTTTCACACAATGCAAACACACATAGTTCACAGGAGCCTGAAGAAGAAGAAGAAGAAGATAAGACAAATCTGTTCTTGTTGTTGATGAAGAAACATAACGATATTACAACAACACAAAGGCTCAAAGTTTTTACCTGTGTAGCAAACACAAGAAGCTCTCCTAAGGCAAAGAGAACGATGAAACCGAGTAAACTCTTTAAGGTAAATGCAGTGAAGCAAAAGATCGCTCCAAGAAACGTTGCTCTGGATAAAAGCTAAATACATAGGTATCGATCAAAAAGGTTTTGATTCAAAATCCGAAAGCAAGAAGAGAGAAAAAAGCTTTTCTTCTTTCCACCTTGAAAGCATTTGGAATTGTTGCGGTGACACTATCGAGTATCAACCCTCCTGATAATGACCCAATGACCCCACAAATGATAGTTACTGCACCAAAGATCATATCGGCGTTTTTCTGACAAGATAAAGTTTCTTATCAGAAAACAAAGTTTCAAGAACTCTCAAGAAGAAAGATTGATAGCAACAAAACAAATGTTTCACCATTTTGTAAATGTTATAACCAGCCTTTGGTCCCCAATACGAGTATGCTCCAATAACAAAGCTGTATGAGACATAACCTGTTAAGACCAAGTTATATCATCAACCATGAAGAAGATAAGTAGGAAGAATAGTGAAAGCGAAGAGGACAAAAATTATTACCTAAGACATTAACAACAAAGACTTTTTCTTTACATAGAACTTTCATATCTTTCCCAAATTGAGTAAACGATTTCGAAACTACGTTCTTGTAACTTGACCTGTCACAGTTGAAGTAAAACAAATTTGATAAAACTAATACAAAACGTAGGGAAGAAAAGTTTTAAGATAAATGAAATCAAACTCACTTATAAGTTTCAATGGAGACCTCAATCTCATTACCACCAGCTTGAAGATGTTTGTTGTTTTTACCAACTGATGAAGCCATCTTTATCGAATCAGTAGAAGGAAACCCTGTTTCATTTTCTTTTCTCAGATCACAATATCTTTTAACAGTTTATTCTTTTAATAACACAAGACAGAATCTGTTCTTCACCTTTTAACTGTAAAGGTTTCATCAAGAAACCAAGAACAGCAAATGGAGCCATTAATACAGCTTCTCCCCAAAAGAAGATGGGATTTCACCAACGAAACTGTCAAGAGATTCGAGACGAGAGAGCTTTGTAATTGAAGATGAAATCTGACCCCAAAACTGATTACCAGAAAGATCGAGAAAGGTGAGCTGTGAAAGAGTTTCAATTGAAGATGGTATCTGACCCGAAAACTGATTATCATAAAGATAGAGCAATGTGAGATGTGTAAGATTTCCAATTGAAGATGGAATCTGGCCAGAGAAATGATTAGAAGAAAGAGCGAGATCAGTGAGATGTGAAAGGTTTTCAATTGAAGACAGAATCTGACCCGAAAACTGATTATAGGAAAGGTTGAGAGAGGTGAGATGAAAAAGTTTTCCAATGGAGGATGGGATTTGACCATGTAAATCATTATATGAAAGGTCGAGAACTGTTAGAAAAGGAATGTTTTGAAAGGTATTCGAATGAAACCTGCCATGGAGGCAGCTGCAGCTGAGGTCTAGCTCGATCACTTTCCCAGACTTGGCATCGCACGTGATACCATCCCAATAACAACAATCACTGTTATTTCCCCATGACTCCGTCTTCGGATGAGGCTTTACATAGCTACCATTAACATAACAGTCATAAGAAAAAGAAGGCTTCCTGATCTCAAACTCGTTCTTGAACTGGAGAAGTGCATCCCTTTGTTCAGGACGACACACATGTCTAATAGGAACCGCAGACACGTTTGAAAATAAAGTATGAACGAGAAGAGAAAAGAAAAAGTAATATGAATGGTCCTCATTGAGTTCCAACAGCCTTTCGTTCTTCTTCTTCAAGCTAATTTAATTTCTCTTGAATATCAATAATAAAGAAGCGAAAGATGGAAATGGTGATAGTAAAACAAGGTTTCATTCCCCGTCTCTTTATATAGATTTCATATAGAGAGTGCTCCAGGTTCACTCAGATTGACTCACCATCAAGTCTTTGTACGAAGTGTTATTCACGTTGAGCAAAGAGATTAAATGTATTTGTGTTCCAAACATTTTGGTCCAACCAAATTAAAAGATATACAGAACCAAATTAATGAAAAAGAAATTAGATATACAATACAAAAGAGTACAAGTCAAGAAGAGACGATTAGTTATGGGTAATGATAATCATGTGGTCGAGGTAAAGAGAGCTCTCAGGAAGAAGATAAGTTCGAAAAAGAAAGAGAGACTTTGAAATTGTAGGAGTTCAGAGCAGAGTTGGCTTACTTTTCAAGTCATCGTCTTTCGTCTTTTCCCCCGTGAAACAAAACTCACCAGTCAATATTGCTGAATAGTCTGAGAATTCTATTTGTTTGTTTGTTTGGTTTCATTTGTCATGATACATTTTTTTTCTTTGTTCGAGTTTGATTTCTATGATTTGTTCAATTGCGTTGTTATACTAAAAATAGAATAATCTAATCGAATTACAGTATATTTCTTTGTGGTCTAGATATATGTTTAAACTAATTATAACGTCGAGTATGCCTTGTTTGTTTTCGATCGCCCCTGGTTTTGGTGTCTATCGAGTTCTTTCATCTAACAAATTTTATTTTTAATAGTCTCCAAAGACTAAACAATAACATAAACTTTTACACTGAAAGTTGTCTTACGTAAGGTTGATAACTTGGTTTAGTAACAACAAAAACAATACAAAATATGATACGGTACTAAAGTATATATTCTGTGAACTTAGCTGTACTGTTCATTTCTGATAAGTTCTCATCTTTGTTTATAAGATTATAATGAAAAGGCATGATGAGCTTATTTTGTTTATTGTTGTTGATTTCTATGATTATGTTCAATGCTAATTCTGTTGTGTTCATAGTCGCTGATAAGTTATCTCCTACAAAATCATTGATTAGCTGATTATTTTTACTGTTGAACATTGGTCCAATTATCTTCTTTAGAATAAGCATGCAAATAAAAACTATGATGCGCACTATGGACAGAAGGCATGCAAATAAATTATTTTGAAAGCTCTGCAAAACCAACGAGAAGCCAAAGAGAATAAGTATTATCTCTTCTTGGAACTGAAATGAAGTAGCGCTTTCTTGCAACACAAGCATCTATTACTGTGTCTCTATCTCATTTGTCACAGTACCTGTGATTGTTTTAGCTGTCTGGTAGACAAAATCAGGAAGGAAGTCAAGCCAGAATAAAGAAGACTTTTTTT